CAAAAGAACCTGAACTTTAGACATTTATAGTGTATGTAAGTGCACTGAAAACAGCTCCAGCAGACTGAATCTATGACTAAATGGACTGTTTATTAACACTAGGGTTAAAACTGTCATTCTAGTCAAATCAAACCTTTAACTGGTAACTGTTTTCTCCCCTGTGAACTAATTAAAATCACATGCCTCCTTAAGATGCCTCCCACTAACTTTGGGGGGCACGTTGGTGTCTGTCCATCGTGGGTGGACTGAGGTCAGCGTAAACAGATAATACGGTACGTGCTGTCCGGTGTGTGACTGCTGTACGTGCAGAATAACCATTAATATTTAACACACACTGGGTAAAGTCAGGAGGAAGTGAGTGGGAAAATCCTGTTAATTTTTGACATGGATGTTTTAGATAACAAGAGGTAAGACGTGAATAGGAATTTATGCTGTTTTAACAGACATCTACCACTAAGATATTAATGATGTATCGGCCTGTTAGAAGCAGTTTCACTACTTGTGTTGTTGTTATGTTTCCTCTGTTTTTTGTTTTTGTATTGGTTTTGGTTTTGCACATTGAACTGTGTCTGTTTTCTGTTTTCTGTTTTCTGTTTTCATTTTTCAGTTTTGTTTTTCAGTTCAGACTACACTAAAAGGAATCCCGTATTTGATGCTTTGATATCACCATAAAGCAGTATTGTGAAAATTAAATGAAGCAGATTAAAATGGCTGGTTAATTCCCTCCATTTGCAAGCAGTGGTGACTAAAGAGTGAATAAAGAGAGAACACTGCATTCATCAAGCAAATGAAACATGACAGGAGTATTCTAGCTGATGAAAGTGAACGTTAGACATGGACACCCCTCCGTTAGATATTCTAGGAAAAAAATAGATTCAGATATGAACTTTATCCACCATCTTTTAAACATTTTCATGGACAAATTAGTCAGGCAGCTCTCCAAGAAATGGTCTCATTTCTAGCATTTATAGAATTTGCCTGTAATAAACAATTCCAATACCAATAAATTGTTTGTGTGTGTGTTTAATAATGTGATTTTTTTTATATTTCTACTGTTTTTGTTGCATCAAGTATTTTAACGCCGTTTTTAATCAGCAAGGCAAATCCTTTTCAAGGCAGATTCTCGGGTGCAATCTTTTCTTTAATCACCTAAAGTCACTGAGTAAGTGCATCGCTGACACAAAGTTTGATCAGCGTTACTCTGAGAAATAAAGTGCAGGTACCTTTTTCCAGGCAGCAGCTACAGCCTTGTGCAGGCCGTAGGGTCGGAGGACCTGTAAACCCTCACAGGTGTTGTATATCTGCCTACAGACAAAGATGAAGGCTCCACATAACGTATGGGACGTGTCGGATTCACTCAGCGGTGACAGCTCTTTATCCAGCAGCCTGAGAGTGAACTGTACAGTGACGTGAGCAGCGAAGGTTCTGGAGGTGGAGGATAAGAGACACAAAGAGAAATATGTTGATACAAGACACAATGGACAGATTTGTATGTGTGTAATATGAGCTGTGGTGACAAAATACACAAATAAATCCTTCCAGGCGACTCAGAACAGTCCTGATCTCAGTCTGACTTTCCTTGTTTTCTAAACGTTAAATACATTCTAGTACATTTCTTTATGACTGTAAGTTGTATTGTTAACTCATTTTTATTCATTGATTGGCAAGAAACATGGTGATTAAAGTCTATTTGCTCATTTGTACGACACATTTCTCAGAAGAGGTGCATGCAAGTTTTAATGGCAGACTAGAGCACGTAGTCAAAACAAAGTTTTGTACTCAACAGCAGCATCAGCCTTAGTGAATGTGCTATTGATAATTCACAACAACCGACTGTAGTTTAAGGTTGGACACTGAACCAGGTTACACACTGGTCAGGGTCAGCCAATTAAAACAGAATATAAAACTAACTTTGGGGCTCCGAGTGACCCTGAGCATCTTTAATAAAACATACTTTGTTGGAGTATGAGTAGATCAAAGATATAATCGCAGTGAATGACAAACCAGCAACATCCTCGGGTCTAATCTGCTCCCTGCGCAGAACCAGGAGGATTTGTTATGCAAACCTAACTTTATATATTGGAGTCTGCTTGCTAAGTCAGAAAAATGTAATTTATTCATTACCATGAAAGAAAGAAAATGGCACTGCGTATTTAATCATAATTCAATCACACTGTCTCACCTCTCGCTGTGGGCTAGAACTAGATTCTTCTCGTATAAGAAGAGAGCTAATCCTCTGTCGGTGTTTGCGATGCGAGCCAGAACATCAGCGATAAGAGTCAGTGTTGCTGCGGGAGATTTTAATTTAGCCTGCGAACCGTAGAGAATAAACAGACAAAAGTTACCCAGCTGATTCAGAAAACAAGGAGAAGCCCAAGAGGGATGAACAGATATTGAATATTGGAATAACATCATTAACTTTGACAATCATAGAACTAAGGAAAAGCTATTATATTTTCATAAGCGACGCTTCCACAATTTCACACAGCTTTTGAAAGTTGACCTTTAACAAAACAAACTGTCCTGTGGTGACAAATGCTGTTCTTTTGTGTCCTTCTAACATCTAACAAACACTTTGGACTTCAGATGTGGTTTTCCAATCAAGGTTAACAACTTGGTTTGAGCATGGCATAGTGGACCTTTATGTAGTTGATGCTGAGGGTTAGGATTAGAGCTACCGGTCAGAGAATAAATGTTAATAGACCAGTAGAGTAGGAGCTAAAGCACAGTCAGACTTCTTTAAACTTGACAATTTTAAAACAGAAGTCAAGTATTCAGAGCCTTCTGCATAATTTTAATCTTAGCAGGATGTAAAAGAATAAAAGAAAGAATTTAAATTACAGGAAAGCTTCACCACGGAAATTCCTAACCATGAATTTCTTGGGTTGATAATTGCAGAAGGCTTTGTGAAACACATAGTTTACCTGCTTATTATACGAACACCGGAAACTCTCAATTTCAAACTTTCTACATGTAATTACTTTTATTAATGAGTCTCCATTGTGTTTCTGCTAACCATGATAAGGTGTGTGCGTGTGTGTGTGTGAGTGTCTGACCTGCTGTCCATTGAGCAGAGCTATAACAGGAGCCAGCAGCGTCTCTATTACGGGGGTCTGGTAGAGACACTCTGCAGCACACTCTGTCCTCTCACACAGCATCCACAGCACCTCCATCGCCAGGCCGCTGGGCGACAGCGAGTCTGAGCACACAAATGAGTAAACTTAAGTAAACTGGAACATTATTACAACTGAATCAATGTGCTCTGTGTGTATGGACCATGTTCACGTATTATTATAGAAGTACACGCATGGAGGATGAGGCGAGGGGGTTGGAATCTGTAACTACTAAAATAATTCCATTTTATTCTATTTTATACTTCTGCTCCACTAAGGAACTGAACTTTTTACTCTGAAGATTTCACATACAAGACAAATGATCAGCTTATAAAAGGCAACACACCGTTAAAAGGTCAAACTACCCTACAGTATGTGAAGTTGTGCTTCATCTTAACCAGCTCAAACGTTAAAAGACTGCTTTGTGTTGATGTTAGGCATTTTGCATAATAAGTTTCTTTAACTTTATTATTTCATGGTTACATTTTTGCTGATTTATATTATACTTATACTATTGTAATACCGTTCGCCTTCCAAAAGCTTGTAGCAGAAACTACGGTGGCCGCGAAACTCGTGAAAAACACAAAAGGTTGTAGATGTAGAGCCAGTGTTTGTTTTGTCCATTCTCACATGTGGTGCAGGTGATCTTCATCAGCACTGCAGGTAAAATATTATATAAGTCTGTAACTTGCTCAACAGGACTCCCTGCAGCAGCCACACAAGATGATTCTCTAACAAAGTCGAGACAGGAGACACTATTGATCTCTGGCACTGGCAGTGTATGAGAATGAATGGTGCAATAAAGAGAGGTCTTCCAGGAGACAACCATAGAACTGCCTGACTCAAGGTTAATAGATAAAAGATATGGACTGAGCAATGCTGTTATGCCTCATAGGGAGGGTCACTGTGTTCCTGACTCGTAATCTGGACAGAAACCAGGGAGGAAGCAGAAACTCCTTGACGTACTTTATATCCGTGTGAGTGTGCGGGCCCCACCTGTGTGTGAGGGGTCGCCGTGCCGAGGTTTGGGGTGTTGGTACACGATGTTTATCATGATGACAACCAGGTCTGTCAGGCTGACTGGATCTGAAACACAGACATCATAAATGAGTAAATGAGCCTGGCAGTGTCTCCACAGGGACACAGAGCACTGCTGAGAAGGAAATGCACTCAGTCCAGGTGTGGAGTTTTGTTGAAGACGAGGTTCATCTTAGTTCACAGTTTGCATCAGTTTTTATGTCTGGGATGAGTTTTAGTTTTCTGGTGTGTTTTATAAAACATACACCTGATTTGTATTTCAACTGAATGTAACAACACGTCAAATATACAGTGTGTAGAATATATACAGTCATATTTTATCACAAGCACGTCTGAAGGGGCTTTATATAAATGTGATATATTTATTTCATATCCACATTACAGCTGGAAACAATTAGTTGTTTAACCAATTAATCAATTAACTATTATGATAATCGGTTAATATTTAATATATATAATAACTAGTTTATCAAGCAAACCTTTCTAAGTTTTATATCATTATCAGTTGAATATGTTTGGGTTCTGGAAACATTTTAAAGTTCTTTAGGCTCTGGGAATGGGTAAGTGCTATGAACAGGACTGGGTTGCACCAGCCGTGTGTACGTTCTCTCCTAAGTGAGGGTGTAAAGTCGAAACTAGAGGCTCAGTAACTACCAGTTAGTTTGAAACTTAACTAGTTTGGATGTAAATCACCATGGTTACAGGAGCCACTTTGTATATCGTGGTAAGCTCAATCGATATTGAAATATCATATCAATAAAGTGATGTAAAAATGATGTTTGGCAGAAAACCTGCTGTTTTACCACCAGTGATTATAATTCTGTGATACTTTATGATTTACACTACCTTAGAGCTATTTAGTTGTTGTTTAGCATTAGCTGTACAACTGTTTTTATTTTAGTAATAAGCAAAAAAATCACACCTTAGTAATAATTAAAGTTATAACTAAGCTCTGTGTGTGACAGAGAATGAAATCTTTCAGTTAAATAAATTAATACAACATGAAATAAAACAGGGAAAACCTTCTCAATAATAAAAAAAAAATCTAAACTACAGTGGAAAAGGAACTGACACAAATTATGACGCATATGGGTGAGAAGCTGATCTGACTGGTGCCCACTTCAAGGTGTGGAGGACTAATCAACGGGCCCCAACCCAAAGAGTGGGTCTTATGATCAATATAAACCGCTAACGTCACTGGTTTGATTTCCTCCAGACTTACTTGGAAGAAAAGTGATTAATCTTTAAATATCGTCGTCTGCAGACAGTGAGTCTGTTTTAATGGTCTGCCTACGTATCATTCAGCCGTTACATAACTTTATCAGTGATTAAGGCGGGATGGAGGCAATAAAATCAGTGCACAGGAGGGACGGAGGGAGAGGTACCATGTGTAAACTGATGGGACACATTCCAGCATGAGATTATCTGCTGTAAAGATTATTGTGTTGTAAAATGACCAACTACAACGCTCAGACAATCTATTTTTAACTCCAAGTCATGTAAATCATTTGTTAATGAGTCAATATTCAGTATTCAGTTCAGAATTATGCTCCATCGTTTAGTGGTGTAGACTCGGATGAGGAGATGGAAACCCCTCTCGTGGTCAGTAGCCGGTTAGTTTAGTTTAGCACAAAGACTTAAAACCTGATGTTTTTATATGAAGGTTGTTTTATCTCCACAAAAGTGTACAAACTATTTTTTTAACAGTACTTTATGTGCTGGACTATTTCTTGGCCAGGACCAGTTGACACTCGGGGGAAGTTACTGTTCCTGGCCACGAAAAAGTCAGGAACAGAAAATGATGAATTGTAGTTTTTTTTTTTTACAATTCAGTTTCTGTACAGATTAAACAAACGAGATATAATTAGTTAAATTAGCTTCAGAGTTGCTGCCAGTTTGATTTTGTGCTGAATGTGGCTTCATATTTAACAGACAGATATGAGAGATGTATTGACCTTCCCATCATTAACACTCCTTTATAATATGTAAGACTTTAAATGTTATACCCAACACGCTGACAGATGTTTAATACAGGTTACGGTCTATTATTGTTGTACCTTTGCGCTTCCTAACTTTGATGGGGAAGAACTTTCTGCCATTGGTGTAGATGAGGACTTTCCCCAGGACACACAGCGAGTGGACAAAGAAGACATATTCAAGCTCTTTTCCTGTATAAACACTCCTCTGGTCTGAACCTGAAACAACCACAGAAAATACAAATTCACAAGTTGAACTGTCTAGACTTTTGCTGTAATCGCATTTCCAGTTTCCATTAGGTCGAAAATATAGTTGACATTTATAAAAAAGATGCTGGAAGGAACAGAGATAAGAAAAACAACAGAGGAAATAATGTCCTTGTCTGTCTAATGGCTAACTCGTCGTGTAAAGTGCTGCAAAACACAGACTGGAAATAAGAAGGCTTGCTGTGGCAGAATCCGCTTTCATGGCTCTTCAATATTCTAATGACGAACCACGATGAATGCCCTCGTTGTGAAGCTGTGGTAGACGGACAGTTCATATCTAAAGCTTCTGTAATAGAATGAGAGCATTCAGCAAATAAATTTAAAAAAAAAGGTATGTGGCAACCTCGCAGTGCCTCCGGGGTGCAGAAAATCAAAGCTCTGAAAAACTCTTGTTCCCTTTGTGGAGGAGTGTATCAGTGACGGGGGGAGACAGCGTATCTCCACTAAACCAAGACAAGGTCAAAATGTTCAGCCTCCACGAGCCAGCTGGCTTCAGGAGATAACACACTGACATTCCCTTACATTCACTCCCCGCTTATTGGATTTTCACTATTTAATGTGCAACTGGAACCAGAAATCTACGTAACTCCAGTTGATTAAACGCTGTGAACAATCGCTGTGGGCGAGTAGAGGGGTTAACTCTGGAACAACTGGCACCATATAACACTGGTTATCTGACACTAAGAGTCATAACAGTGGTGTTGTGTTTTCTGCTGCAAGGTTAGAGTGAATTTAGAGAACTGCAGTAAGTTTAAGGCACATATCATAGGTTTAACTTCTTATTATATACGACTTCCATTCTTTAAATGAGCGGAGTGAGGCAGGAGGTTCATCCATGACCGTGGGCACAGTGGTGACACAAAGTGATCTTAACTCAAAGCTCTACTTCCTGGCTTTTTCCAGCCCCTTTCTGTGACTCATCACATACTGTTATATATAAATACACTCTCCCTTTTTTTATGACTTCCATTGCATCTTATCAAATCTAAAATCTTTTATCTAATTAGCTTTTAAAAAGTGCCCCGTGGATGTTCCTTGTAAACACATAAACGTATTTTGTGTGAGTGTGAGCTTCTCTCACAAACTTCACAGCCCGTTCTCATTCCCAGGTTGTCTAATACAGATGCGAGCAGTGTTCAGTTAGTTTCTTTTCGCCCCGCTAGATGCCACTAAATCCTACACACTGGTCCTTTAAGTAAGTCCTGTCCTTTTTTGGAATAGAGGCTTTCAGATGCATCGTTTGTTATTATACTTCGACACATGCCTTCTGTCTTTTCTGCTTCAGCTTAATCATTTATTTAGTCACGTCTTTCACTGAGTGTTCATTTTTCAATCATTCTTTTCTCTCCATCACTCAACAGTTTTTCTGTCTGTTCTTTCTACTGTTTTTATCTGCATTCCCCTCTTTTAATGGCAGCAGAAACAGCATGTGCACATTAACAAAACTGAATAAATGATGACTGAAAAGTCTAGGTGCAAATACAT